TTAATTATCTACTCTAACTGTAACAAATCCATCGAGACTTCATTTTCAAGGTTTATTGTATTAAAGTAGGTAAGATAAACTTCACACATTTTTTTAATTATCTACTCTAACTGTAACAAATCCATCGAGACTTTTGGTTTCCAGCCAGATAATCGTGTGCTAATAAAAATAAAATGCCACTAGGAATATCAACGGGTTTAATCGTTCAGCAGACTCTATTTACTAAACTTTCTGAAACGAACACTCATCGTTTGCGATAATTTTAGCTCTGTTCGTTTTCGAAGAATCTTTAACTTAGTCTTTTGGCATTTTGTAGAAGTTCCGTGCAGACTCTTGTTTATCACAACCGTAAACTCATAATGTCTTAAACGGGTAAGCATTGCACGATGTTTATGTATATCCTGAAAGCTGCTGACATGCTGTATGTAAATTCTAGTATTTCTGCAACGTTGTAGGCTATGTTATGTTTTTACGACTATTTTAAATAAACTTGAATCATAACTCCACATTACCATGAATCTATATCTGAATTAAGCTACAAGAAATGTTACTGAAATATGACACCAGAGGCGATAAAGAACTTTGGGATTTAATCATGTGGAATAATGGATTTAAAGTTGGACGACAGTTAAAGTTTTGAGTAAGCGTACTGTATACTTTAAGTTCCAAGTTAGTAGGGTTCTATAAAACTTTTAACACTCGAACAGAAATTGGATGTTTTGAGTATAACGATTATTACATTTTGTTCGGAATTTTTAGGTGCAGTTAAAATTATTATTATTATACAATTTGGAAGTATCTGTAATAAAATAAGAAGATGGATAGAATAATTATTATAAGTATATTACAGGTGCTATTTACAAAATCAGTCAAACCAAGTGTTGTATGAAGACAACTGTAAAAAAACGTGTTGCACAGATTAATAATCAGACTTTATTTAAAAGGTTGATAGAGTAGAAAGTTCTTTAGTACCAGGCCCGGCATGGCCAGGTGGTTAGGGCCCCGGCATGGCCAGGTGGTTAGAGAGCTTGACTCGCAATCTGCGGGTCGCGGGTTCGAATCCCCGTCCCACCAAAACATGTTCGCCCTTTCAGCCGTGGGGGCGTTATAATGTGACGGTCAATCCCACTATTCGTTGGTAAAAGAGTCGCGCCCAGAGTTGGCGGTGGGTGGTGATGACTAGCTGCCTTCCCTCTATTCTTACACTGCTAAATTAGGGACGTTTAGCGCAGATAGCCTTCGTGTAGCTTTGCGCGAAATTCAAAAACAAACCGATTCCTTGGAAACGTGTCACAAACTTTAATATACTCTTTCAGCTGTCCATGTTCTTTGTTAGTGTTTTTGTGTTGTTGGGGGAAAGGGGATTGCATCAGTTATTTATGGTACTTCTAAATATAACTGCCAAGGCGGTATGTTACAGACGTTCTCCTGCATCAGATTGGGCGTGTTTAAAAAAAAAAGCTTTTTATGCAAATAAATTGAAATACTGAAGTAATGTTAAAAACCAAACATCTGAAGTGTTCAGTAATGTATGTACTATCGATTTTTCAGGTGTTCGCCTTAACTTCATTGTAATAAAACAGAGTATATTATATTTTAGTAGCAATGTGTAATTGTTACGTCACAATAACAATCACAAAAATTTAAATAACATCAGCAGAGAATGGTGGGATGCGAATTAAATTAGTATGGGTCTTACTTGCGGACTTATAACGCTAAAACCCGGGTTTCGATACCCGTGGTGGGAACAACACATAAAGCCCATTGTGTAATTTTCTGCTTAACTACAAACGAACTTATTGCGGTGTAACACACACACACACACACATACATACATTGCTCATAAAATGTAATCCTCCGCCAGCTAAGATGCGCTACTACCTAAGTCCTAAGACCTTATTATATATGTGTGGGAGTGTGCGTGCGTGCGTATTCAATCAATACGTTTACTACCACAGAGGGTTGAGTACGTTATATTAAAATGATTTTAAATATGTAAATCAGCAAGTCATGTGACAACAAAGTCGATATGAAGTCATGGTGAAACGGTAATATCAGAAACCACTTTTGATAATGTTTTGGTGTTTCTTAAGTAGTGTGATGCTGCCGAAAAATAATCCCTTTTGGAAAGCCCCCAGTAGCCCAGCGGTATGTCTGCAGACTTACAATGCTAGCATTCGGGTTTCGATACCCGTGGTGTGTAGAGCACAGTTAACTCATTGTGTTGCTTTGTGCTTAACTTCAAACAAACAAACCCTTTTGGAAAAGATGTGTGATAGCCCTTTTTCTCGCAAAATATTCATACACTAATATCAGGTACTTAATGGTATTGGAAAACAAAATAATTTGGATTACTGACAAGACAATCCAGAAAAGACCCTTCAAATGTCAAACCCTAGACATCGTATGAAGTGCGGTGTCTTGTAACAAAAGCCGCCCACGTGCCCCACGAAACAGTATCATAATCAAGAAAAATAACGGTCTAGAGAAACACACAAGTCACATGTACACAAGTTGCTTCCACGACATATCTGTTCAACCGTCGCATACCTCAAGCAGCTGAAGAATGAAACGGGTATTTATACTGTTTATATTAAAACGGTTTTGAATATGCAAATCAACAAGTCACGTGACAATAAAATCGATATTTCGGTCAAGTCATCTATGAATTTCTGTGCAATAGGATTGTTGAAACAGATACTGGCAAACCGCCGTACTCTTATATTAGGTAGATTAAAGATAGCAACCAAGGAGCAGTGGGGTGCTTTGAACATGACAGCCTTACGGCGAAGCCTTTTGTAATGGAAACTACACAAGAGAGCTATTTTCAAAAAACACGGTCGTCAGATAGAGCATCACAGG